GTCCCTGATGCTTTGCCAAGCTTGTTCTAAGTAGGTGCTTTAGACCACTGAGCCATCTCTCCAGCCCCAATGTGATTGAATCTTGAGGACATGAGTCTAAATGAAGTATGCCAAGGGCCGGCCAGATAGCTCAGTGGATTAAAGCGCCTGCTTAGGCAGAGCACAGCAGTGGGGCTTTGATCCCCAGCGTGCCATGCCCTGCCCCCAGGGTGCACTGAGACAGCAACTGAAGCTGGTCCTGACATTAAACACCTGTAATCCCAGTGCTTGGGAGACTGAAAAAAGGAGGATCACTCTGAGTCTGATCTATGTAGTGAGACCCTGTAGACCCTGTCTTAAATACATAATAAATAAATAAATAAATAAATAAATAAATAAAATTTGCCAGTCACAAAAAGACAAATGCTATATGATTATGTGAGGTCCTAGCATAGCCACAGTCCTAGAAAGAGAGCATAGAATGTGGTTGCCAGGAGGTGGGGAGAGGGAAAGGGGGAATTATTTAACAGAGACTGAGTTCAATCCCCAGTTCCACACACGTACACACACACACACAAACCAGATAATCTCAGATTTGCTAGATGAAAAACTTGTGGAGATTGCTTTCACAGCAATGTGAGCATACTTAACACTACTGAGCCCTATAATTAACATAGCTGATATGCTAAATTTTACATTATACTTTTGTGTGTATTATACAAGGTTGGTGTTTGTTTTTTGACACAGGGTCTCTCTATGTAGTGTAGGCTGGTCTTGAACTTTTGGTGATCCTCCTGTCTCAGCCTCTTGAGTACTGGGCTCATAGGTGTGTACCACCATACCCAACGGCGCTGTTATTTTAACCTCTGTCTGTGCTGCCAGCTGGACCTTGTGTCAGCTTCTCCCATGGTGGGCAGGCTGCGGATGAGTGAGGGAGTGAACAGCCTGCAACCCAGGGCTCCAGCTGTCTTAGGAAGTGCAGTGTCCCTGAGCCTTCAGTGGGTCACTGCTCAGTTTAAGATAGGCCACAGCACTGTGCACAGGCAACTGAGCTCAGACGGTGCGGGGCGGCAGATGCGGTAGACATCATTGGCTCAGGAGCACGCGTGTCCACCCTCTGTGGCTCACCCCCGACCCAGAAGGCCGGTGTTCACAGATGTTCACGGGTGAGGACAGCAGGGCTCCCAGCTGTCTGCTTATTCCCTCGCAGCTCCAGAGCTGGCCCGAGGAGGCACCAGGAAGGAGCACCAGGACGAGCAGCTCCAGTGTCCCCTGAGTCTAAGGAACCTGGCAGGTTTCCAAGCAGGTCTGTGGCCAACTTGTGGGCCACATATTGGAATCAGGAGACAGTGGAGATGGAGTGTGTAGCATGAGCTGTAGGCTCTGCCTCCTTGCTCTGGAAGGCTGCAGCTAACACTGGGGCAGCTCACTCACCTTCCTTGTGTCACAGCAGCACCACTCTGCTGTTAAAATGAAGACAGAAGCAAGAGCTGGCTGTAGCACCATTGTAGAGCGCTTAGCCAGCATGTGTGAGGCCTTGGGTATGCCCCTTAGCACCCCAGGTAAAATGAAACATGAAATTCGCTTCTTAGCTGGGCACGGTGGTGCATGTACTCCTGGCAGTCTGGGAGACTGAGGCAGCAGGATCAAAAGGTAGAGCCCAGCCTGGTAAACTTAGTGATTTCAAAAGAGACCCTGTGTCAGAAATAACAAGGGCTGGGGAAGTAGCTCAGTGACAACAGCATCACTGGGTCTTGTCCTTAGTGCTGCCAAAAGAAAAAAAGAAAACTTCTTTCACCAGGAACAGAGGCTAGGAGCGAAGGGCTGTGGCCAGGGGTGAGTGCCCCCTGTACTGCAGACACTGCACCCAGTTCCCAGCCTACCTTTCTCACAGTAGGGCTCCCCATCCTCCATGTGGAAGAGGCTATTTCCAAAAGGCTTCTTGCAGGCTGCGCACACGAAGCAGGTTGTGTGCCATGTCTGTCTCAGGGCGTGCATCACTTCCTGGGGATTGAGGGTAAGTTCAGAACACAGAGGTCCCCACACAGTGGGTACCCGGGCCCTCGCTCCCTCTGGGAGCAGCAGCAGCCGCAGCTTCCCAGCTCCTCACCAGACCCCCAGTCTGGGCACAAGGGTGAAGCGGAGACAGGGGGTGGTGCTGTGCTTACCCCCATAATCTTGGTGTTGCACTTGGCACACAGTGGGGCGAAGAACTGCTCATAGCACCGCTCGCAGTACACATTGTTCTGCTCCTCCACGAAGCACACATCCGCCAGTGAGGTCTTGCAGTAGGCACAGTTGAACTCCTCTGGGTGCCAGGAGCGGCCCATGGCCACCAGGAAAGGGCCCCTAGGGAGAGCAGCACTTGCTCAGGCAGCCCCAACTCCAAGAACCCGGCAACACTCTTCCTTTTACCCAGGGGGCTGTTCTAATGGAATAATAAAACCTCAGAGATGGCACCCACAGAAAGGCGTGCTTGTCTCACCACTTGCAGTGGAGAGAATGTGGCACTCGCTGGGTGTGGTGACACATGCCTGTCATCCCAGCACTCTGGAGGTTGAGGCTAGAGGATCGCCATAAATTCAGGGCTAGCCTGGGCTACATAGTGAGTTTAAGTACACTATATTTGTTTGTTTGCTTATTTATTGTCTTTTTGAGACAGGGTCTTGCTACACAGCTCAGGCTGGCCTTGAACTCACTTTGTAGACCAGGGTGGTCTTGAACCTGCAACAATCCTCTGCCTCAGCCTCCTGAATGCTGAGATTGCCTGGTTTCACCTGAACTGTATAGCAAGTCTCTGTCTCAAAAAAGCTGGGCATGGTGGCGCACATGTGCAATCTAAGTACTTGGAAAAGTGAGGCAGGAGGATTGCTGAGAGTTCAAGGCCAGTCTGGACAACATAGCAAGAACCTGTCCAAAAAAAAAAAAAAGAAAGGAAGCAACTTAGTCACTGTAGGGACCTGATAAGTACACAACAGAATCCACCACTAATGACAAGAACAGGGATGCGAGATGGATACTAACATGCGTTAGGTGCTTCCTCCAGGACAAGCACAATTCAAGAATAGATTTGCACTTACTAACTTTGTTTAATCCTTGCAATGATGCTAAGGGTTCACGGAAACGATGACCCTAGGAACGATGGTGCCTATGTTCAGGAAAAGAAATGAGGCGCAAGATAATAAGGTAACTCACAGAAAGCCACAGGGCTAGTAAGCGGCAGGCCCAGGATACAAAACCCAAGACTAGCTCCAGATTAGAACTCTGGGAACGCGAGGGAGGCTTCTTTGGTCTTGTTTACTTTTTAGTTTATTTGCAGTACAAGGGATTCAACCCAAGACCTTCCAACCAAGCTACATCCCTAGCCATTTTTATTTTATTTTTAATTTTGTTTTGTTCTTTTGTTTTTTGAGACAAGTTTTGCTGTGTAGTCCAGGCTGACCTTAAACTTGTGGTGGCCTCCTGCCTCAGCCTCTTAAGTGCTGGGATTATGGGTGGGTGTGCACCACCATGCTGGGCATTTATTTTAATTTTGAGGGTGCTCACTGAGTTACTAAATTTCCCAGCCTGGGCTGGCATTTGCACTCCTCCTGTCTCAGCCCCCCGAATAACTAGGTTTGCAAATCTGTATCACCTCCACTAGGAAGTTTGTTATGTTTTAATTTCTACATTTCCATATTTTCTAATTTTTCTCTAACAACGATGCATTACTTTATTCTTAAATAAAAGTATACCTGTCATATATATAAACTTGCCTGCCTCTATACACTTTTGTATTCAAACCAGCACCATCCAGGGCCCTACTTCCTGGCATGAAGTGACCTGTTCCCATGCCAGGGACGTGCTCGCCCTAGCCCTGGGTGACACGGGCCTGTCTTTGGAAATAACCCCAAAGCAAAGCCAGGTCAACAGCAGCACTGTCAGCTGACTTTCAACATGCTCAATAAACCCACTGTGACAACCCATCGGTTCCCACAGCCAGGCCCTGGCCCATAGGGAGCTCCTGGCACGGTAACTACTTACCTTACAGCAACCCCCAGCCCTGGGGACATAGGTGTCACACAAGGATAGGGCTGCAGCCTCCAGAAGGGCACACCCAACCCAACTGATGGCAGCTACAGAGCCCTGAGGCTGCCCACTCCCTCCTGACTCCACCGTGGGGCTGAACAGGGGACCCCCAGTGCCCACCCTCCAGGTGCCCAGGGGACCATACCGGATGACACTGTTGCAGTGGCCACACAGTGGAGTTCGGCTACTGGCTGGGAAGCGCTCAGCTCTCTGCACCGTACCCCTGGCTAGAGTTGGGGGAGCCGATGAGGTATAGCCTGGGGCTCCCCGGGGCAGGGTCTGCTTGCTGATGGATGTGGTGCTCTTGCTGGGGGCGAATTTCTGAGAAAAGTTGTCATCTGTCACCCAGGGGGGGCGGCTGGCAGACTCTGCTAGGCCAGTGCCATAGGCCGGTGAGGGTGCAGGGTTGTAGTTAGGAGCAGGGGAGGGGGTGTAGGTCGGTGCGGGGGATGGGGTGTAAGTGGGGGCAGGGGAGGGGGTGTAGGTAGGGGCAGGGGAGGGGGTGTAGGTAGGGGCAGGGGAGGGGGTGTAGGTAGGGGCAGGGGAGGGGGTGTAGGGAGCTGAGGTGTAATTGGCTCCTGGGGATGGGCTGTAGGTAGACACAGGCACTGCAAAGCAAAAACACCCAAGGAAAACAGATCAGATATTTGCCCCCTCCCCTGCCCACCGCGATCCTCAGGACTGCTAAAGTTGGCTTTAATGTTGGAGCATCTCCAGCCCAGTTTCTACAGGACACAAGTTCCCAAGCTGCTGTGGCCCAGAGCCCTGGAGGCCTATGTGGGATTGGGCAGGGTGCAGCTATAAATTGTTGCAGCCCTGCAGAAGGGGCAGAAGGTGGGGGTGCCAGCCCATCCCATGCCTGAGATGCTGACCAGACCTGTGTGTGGTCCGGCCTTGGGACAAAGCAGATGTCCAGGATGCTGGGACCAGTTTTCTTCCCTTCCCTTCCCTTTTTTCCATCAGGGTCTCACTATGTTGCCCAGGCTGGCCTGGAACTCACAGCAATCCTCGTGCCTCGGACTGTTAACTTCTGGGCTCACAGGTGTGTGCACCACACATGGCTCTCTCTCTCTCTCTCTCTCTCTCTCTCTCTCTCTCTCTCTCTCTTCCCTTCTTCCTTCCTTCCTTTCCTCCCTCCCTCCCTTTGTTTCTTGAGATAGAGTCTCACTGTGTAGCCCAGGCTGGCCTTGAGTTTGAGGCATAATAGCCTGCTGCTTTGGCTAAAACTTCTTCTTCTTTTTTTTTTTTTTTTTTTTTTATACCTGGAATTAAACTCACAACCTCCCACTTGCCAGCCAGGCTGTATGCCACTGAGCTATATCCCTGGCCCCTGTACAACTCCTTTCATGAACCACAGCACGAAAGCCAGGTGTGGTGGAACATGCCTGTAATCCTAGCACCCAGGAGGCTGAGGTAGGATTGCTGTGAGTTTGAGGCCACCCTGGACTACATAAGTTAGTTAAAAGCCATCCTGCACTATGTAGCAAGATTATGTCTAAAAGGTTGGGGAGATAGCTCAGTAGAATAAGTGCCTGCCTGGTAAGCGCAGGGTCCTGAGTTCAATCCCCAGTACCATGAAAAAAAAGGAAAAAAAAAAAGATTATGTCAAAAAAAGAAAAGAAAAGAAAAGAAAAGAAAAGAAAGAAAGAAAGAAAGAAAGAAAGAAAGAAAGAAAGAAAGAAAGAAAGAAAGGGGGGCCAGGGAGATGGTTCAGTGGAATAAGTGCTTCCCTGGCAAGTACAAGGGTCTGAGTGCAATTCCTGGATCCGCAAAAAAAAAAAAAGAAAAGAAAAAGAAAGAAAGAAAGAGACAGAGACAGACAGACAGAGAAAGGAAAAGAATAAATGTCTAATAATGCTGATTGAGTGAATGAAGGACTAGAAGTCTCATTTCAATAATTCCACAATCAATATGATGATAATTTAATTTTCTTTTTTGGTACCAGAAATTGAACTCAGGACCTTGAGCTTGCCAGGCAGGCACTGGGTTACTGAGCTATATCCCTTGCCTGATAATTGATTTTTTTTGGCAGAACCGGGGATTGAACTCAGGCCCTTGCACTTGCCAGGGAAGTGCTTATTCTACTAAGCCATCTCCCGGACCCATTGATAATTGAATTTTAAATAAATGCTTGGAATGACTCATCAAAAACAAAAATGGTTTCTTAAGACAAGGTCTCTCTATGCAGTTCAGGCTGACTTTGAACTCATTAGGCTGGCCTCAGACTCACAGTAATCCTCTTGCTTCAGCCTACCCAGTGCTGCCCAGCAGAAACACTCCTTAGCATAATCAATTTTGCATATTTGGTCTGAAAATCCTTTTAGGACATAAATACATTAGAGTTTCTTCATTTGCATAATGGAATCACCAGACCCTAGTTCTATCAGACAGTTTACTAAACTTCAAAAAATAGACCCATGCTACTGCTGCTTCCCACTGGGCAGCCTGGGGTCCAGTGTCCCTTGCCAGCAAGGGAGGCTGTGGCTGGGCTCATCTGCAGTTTCCTATGTCTCTGGTTCTCCTCTCCCTCCCTGCCCCTAGCTGGGCCAGGCTCATGACCCCTGCCTTCTGTCTCTTTCATACCCAGAGCCCCAGCCAACGTGGGTGGCCTGCAGGCCATGGCGCCAGCCCTGCACCGCCTGTTCCCAGAAGTCCAGCCCTGCCAAGCCAGGCCTCTGACAGCCACAGTCTTGAACAGTGGTGGGGACTCTGACTGTGCGAGCAATTTCAAGCGTGGGACCTAGGCAGCCTGGCCCGGCCCATCCTGGTGGGACTCAGGCTCACAGAAGTTACCTCTCCCTGAGGCACCTTCCTCCCACTCAGGGCAGTGGACACACCCAGGAGGCCCTGGGTGTCAGTCCTCACACTGTTCCCTGTGACACCTGAAGTCACTGGGGCTCAGACAGAGTAGGGCTCCACAGCCCTTCATTGCACACCCTAGGCTGCCTCTGCCAAGCCCAGGAGTCCAGTTTCCAGACAGTCCTGGGGTACCAGGGCACTGAGGAGTCATGACCAACCTGGAAAAGGCCTTACTGGTATGTGGCACAGCCACCAGGACTCTGGGAGTCAGGCTAGCACGTGGTTGCATAGCAAGGCATTTGGCTGGCATCTGCGGCTCTAGCTCAACCCCCAGCACCACAAAAAGAAAAGTCCTGGCTTCCTGCCTCAGCTCTACTTTCTGGCTATGTGTCCCTTAGTCTCTCTGGGCCTGGTGTCCTCAACTGAAATGCTAATAACAAAGCCTCAGGAATGATGGGGCTCAGTGGTGACCCCCAAACCCCATGTGTCACTGAATGCAAATGAGGATAGTACAAGGGTGGCAGCTGGGGTCATGGTTGGGGTGTCACCAAGTGGCTGCTGTGGAGTAGGGGCCTTGAGAGAGGAGGGGCCTTGCACTCTTAAGTTGAACCTGTGGCAGTGCTTCCTCTAGGGAGTACAACACAAGTGACACCTTTGTGCCTCTGATGCATGGCATGGTGGGGACCTGGCCTGGGGCATGCACTTTATGAATGTGTTTCGAATCTTTCCAGCCACCTTGTATAGCTCCCTAGTATCCAGAGCAGGTAGTCTCAAAATGGGACAGGCAAGGGTGACCTGGAGGGGGTGCTCAGGGACACAGTGAGGTGACAGACAGAACTTAGGAGTGGCTATCCTGTTATCTATCACGGGCTTCTGTGTGAGGTTTCTGTTTCATTTTTTGTTCCTGCAGGCATGGAGAGAGGTCCTCCTTGGGCACCGCCAGGTCCTGGGAACCCCACGAGTGTGGTCAGTGTAAACCGAGACACGCTGCTCAGGGACAACACCCCAGATTATGAAGACTCAATAAAATACCCCATCAATAGTCATTTTATATTGATTATACATTGAAATGATTTTTTTTTTTTAAATCTAGAGCTGTCCTGGAACTCCTGGGCTCCAGTGAGCCTCTTGCTCCCCCCCCCCCGCTCCAAAAAGCATGGGCCACCTGGACCAACTCTGAAATATTTTGAGTATGCTGGGTTTTAAAAAAAGTATTAAAATTAAGGCTAAGGGGGCCAGGGATATAGTTGAGTGGCATAAATGCCTGCCTGGCAAGTACAAGGTCCTGAGTTTGATCCCCAGTACTGCAAAATAAATAAATAAATAAATAAATAAATAAATAAATAAACAAACAAACAAACATTGAGGCTATGGGCTGGGGAGATAGCTCAGTGGTGCCTGCCTGGCAAGTTCAAGGAGACTGGGGTTCGATTCCTGGTTCTGTACCCTGTGCCAGCCTGGTGCTGAGCCTGCCAGGAAAACCTGTAATCCTAGCAGTGGGGAGGCTGAGACAGGAGGGTCACTATGAGTCAGAGCTGCATAGAGACTCTATAACAATTTTTTTGTTGTTGTTTTGTTTTTTCGGAACTGGGGATTGAACTCAGGTCCTTCTGCTTGCCAGGCAAGCAATTATTCTACTGAGCTATCTCCCCAGGTGCCTATAACAAGTTTTCTTTCTTTTTTTTTTTTTTTAATTTTATTTGTGTGTGTGTGGCCAGCTCAGCCCACCAGGGGGCGGGGCTGGCAGGCATGTGGTGCTGGGGGATTGAACCGCGGTCCCTGTGCTTTGCTAAACTTGTTCTAAGTAGGTGCTTTAGACCACTGAGCCATCTCACCAGCCCAACAAGTTTTCAAAAAAGATTAAAATAGGAGGCCCGGGAGATGGCTCAGTGGAATAAGCACTTCCCTGGCAAGTGCAAGGGCCTGAGGTCAATCCCCGGTTCCACCAAAAATAAATTAATTAAATTAAATAAAATGAAGGCGAGTGTGGTGGTGCAGGCCTGTAATTGAAGTACTGGGGGAGGCTGAGGCAGGAAGATTGCAAGTTCAGGCCCAGGATGGACAATTTAGAGATGTATAGAGTGCCTGTCCCAAAATAAAAAATAAATAAAATGGGGGAAGAAGGGGCTTAGAGATGTGGTTCATGGCAAAGGCGAGGAATTTCGCCTGCCTTCTTTCACTGTAAAAAGGCAGCTACTGGAAACATTTCCTCTTGGACGACGCTGCCCTAATCAAAATCGAAAGTAGGACACAGGCACAGACACATCTCAGGTTCAGGCAGCAGGTTTGGGGACCATGCCGCTACCATGTCCCGCATCAGAGTTGCGCTGCAATGCTACAGCTCAGGCTGCGACCCCGAAAGTGTCACAGCGGCAGGTGGCACCGGGACCCCAGTTCAGGCTAGAGCTGCGCCCCCGGGGGAGAAGGGACCCTACCCTGGGCGCCCCGCATCCGGTCCCCCACTCCTGTAAGGGGCAGGGGCTGCTCATCCCTCTTCGCCCCACGACCTGGAGGGAGGCGGCCGCCCATCTAGGCCCGCGGCGGTGGCTCTTCCTGCGTGACGGCACCGAGCACGTCCAAATTAGAAGGTGACATTTCGTACTTAATTGGAGAGTTCAAAAGGCTCCTATCGCACCCGGTGGCCCGGGACCGTGTCATTAGCAAGGTGACCTGTGACTCACACCGGCTAGTCGACGTGGCCATCCTGTTCCCAACCCCATCCCCAACCCCGCCTGCGCCCCAGGTGTTCTGGGCTCCTGGCCATCTGCGGCGGCCCGGGCCTCCGGATCCCTGCGGCGCCACCTCCCGGGAAGGGACGTGGAGGCGGCCGCCTGTCCAGCTCGCCTAGGTTCCGGAGTTCACGCGGGCGCCGCCGGGCTCCGGCAGGCGCGGGGCGCCCCCTGGTGGATGCGCCCTGAAGACACCCAAAACCTACCCTCCCGAGACAGAAGCGCGCCCCGTGGTCGGCTGCGCTCGCCGCGAGCGCCCAGTGCCCACGCCACCTCCAAGGTGAGTGGGGACCGCGGAGCTCTGCCCTTGCTCCCGAAGGGCACAGAGGGTGCTCCTTGGTGCCTGGCGCTAAGCCGGAGTCACGAGGTGCGCGAGGTGTCGCCCCGTTTTTTATGTTTTGTTTTTGTATTTTAGGGAAGGGTCTACAGGGTGTTTAGGGCCTCACTACTAGATCAGACTCGTAGTGATCCGCCTGTTTACAGTCTCCCAAGAACTGAAATTACAGGCGCGCTCCATCACGCCCAGTCTCAATTGCCGTCTCAGCGCGTCCCGGGGGGCGGGGGGGCTCGGAGTCTGCGCGTCAGGCCGGGTGATTGAACCCCCGGCCCCTGCGCCTGCAAAAATGCCCCGTTTTAGTCTGCCTTACTCTCTGTGCTCCAGCTTTCGGCAAATTTGTCCTTAACGGATCGTGCGCCAGGATTTGAGATGTGCTGCACCCCTGACCCCCTACTGGCGACTGACCCAGGGATGCGGGCGGAGCTACAGCCTTGACCCTTTTGTGTTTTCATTTCAGACAGGGCCTCAACCTACCTCGGTGCTGGGATCACAGGCTGCCCGGCTTTGTGTGCACCCTTCTTTACCCCTGTGGTTGCTCGGCCAGTTCGCACTTCTGCATGATCCAGAGAAAACCTTCTCTGTCCCTGCCCTGTCTCTTTGAATGACCTACTCTGTTCTTTCCCAAACAATTCGTAACTTCCTCCCGCGGACAGTTTGTTATAGGCGAAATTGGCGCAGAGGGGCCGGTGGGGGATGGTGATAACGGGGGAGGCTGTGAGCATGGGGTGGGGGTGGCTGTATACAGGAAAACTGTGTGCCTTCCGCTCAACTCTGCTGGAGGGAGAGAGAGAGAGAGAGAGAGAGAGAGAGAGAGAGAGAGAGAGAGAGAGAGAGAGAGAGAGAGAGAGACTGTCTCACTATGTTGTAGCCCAGCTTGGCCTTAAACTCACAGGCCTACCTACTTCAGCCACAGGTGTGCATGTCCACAGCTGCTCTTTAAAAACAAAATCAAAATCTTGTATGTATAATAATTTTGAGGGGAAATGTTTAGAATCAGTACTGTAAATGCAAAATCATTATTGTTTTCCATGATTCAAGGTGACTATAAAGAGAAATATGTTGAAAGTACAATGCTCAGAGCGCAAGCCTGTGGCCTCCCATCTCACACAGCACGGAAGGGCACCATGGGGCACTGAGGCGCTCTTGGGTCCTATCTCCCGGTGCCCAAGAGGCTTCCAGCCTGCAGAGCACAAGCCCTGCCCTCACCCTGCCTGCCCCCAGGCGCATGTCCATCTCTTTCTTGCATTTCTTGTGCCTTCACCAGTGTCCCTACTGCCAGGCCCCAGTCAGAGGCACACAGGATGAACACCCCCCACCCCCAACTAGAATCTGCAGGAGGGGAGGATGGTGACCAGACTCAGCCTGGATACCTACAGCCCCTGTGGCCCCTCCATTTACAAGGGTGAATGGACCTCCCAACCTGGGCACAAGCTGCCTAGCAAGTCCTGGGCCTTTCAGTAAGTGCTGCCAGGGGACGGAGTTTGCCCAGCACCAGGCATCACCACGGGCCCTGAGGATCAGGCTTACCTGGCCAGCACAGCAGAGGGAGGGACTGTACCTGGGCCCCTGTGAGGAGCCCCTGGACTGATTAGAATTGATCTGTCGTCCGGTCTCTGGTGGGGGCCACAGACCAGAGCAGTTGAGCAGTTGACTGGCTTGTACCAGGCCCCACTGTGATTCAACAGGTGAGCCAAAGCCTGTGGTATCGTTGTTATTTTTTGTGCCACCTTGAGCCAGGCCCTGATTCAAGAAGGAACAGCTCCCAGTTCTCGCCTGTGAGCCCTGCATATCCTAGCCTGAGCCTGATGTCTCCATCCTGCACCTTACTACCTAGGCCCTGTCGCCCAGCTGCTCACCTGGCTGGTAGACAGAAGGCCGGATGCTTGCTGTGGTGACCACACGGGGCTTGGGTGCAGGGGCAGATGGACCCTCGCTGTAGCTCGTGTGGGCAGCTGGGGCTGCAGTGGCAGCAGTTGCAGGGCTGTAGGCTGTGGCCTGGGGCCTGGAAAAGAAGGCAAGCATTACAGCAAGGACAGTCCCAGGGGTGCCAGGGCCCATGGGTGTGGAGTCTGGAGGTACCTCCTAGGAGTAGCCAGATGGAGGAGGCTGCTCCTTTGGAGAGAGAGAAAGAAAGGAAGCTTCCACCAGCCCAGGACATACAGAAAAGTCACCTTGTCCATGGGGAGCACAGCTGGCTCCCTCCCTGGAACTTCCTGGTGTTGGGGGTAGTCAGATGCCCTTCCCCCTTCCCCCCCTGCAGCTAACACCCTGCTCCCTACAGAACTCCCATTCCCTCCTCCCACTGGGCTGTCTGTCTGTCTGTCTGTCTGGAGCCTCTTCCCATGCGTGGCCCAGGGATGGGGGACCAAAGAGAAGGAGAAAAGGAGAGAAAGTGTCCTAGTTCATGGCCCCAGGAGATGATGTGCTCGCCTCCTCCCAGGCCCAGTTGCTTATATAACTGTCTTATCCAGAGTTCCCTGAAGTCCTTTCTTCACCTATAACCAAGGAGCACCTTACAGGAATTGTGAGCTCCCTATGTCTTTCATGCCTGAAGAGGACAGGTGACTGCAGCCAGAGCAGATGGGTCCTCTGAGGAGTGTTGGAGAAGTGGAACTCTGGAAACACCCCTGTCCCATATATGGCTTCCTGTGATCCTTCTACCTGCTTCCCAGGCCCTGGGCCTGCCTGTCCTTGATAAGCTGAGCTGTAGGATGAGGTTTTCTTTTCTTGGGGTCCAGGAGGAGACCCTGGGAAAGAAGCCCTAAGGGACCATGCCAGATCAGGCAATGGCAAAAGGGTCTCAGGAAGCCAATGTCCCTGCCTGGGGTGAGCACACTTGCCCTGACTATGTGCTAAGGTCATAGTTGAGTGAGGCTACCGTGAGCCAGGCCCTGATTCATGAAGGAACAGCTCATGAATTCATGAAGGAACAGCTCAAGGAAGGCGACCATGTCCCCTCTCCTGGTCCTGCTGTTCCCTATTCCCTACACCAACCATCAGAGAGGGGCCTCATGGAAGCAGAAGGGACCTTATACAGGAATGCTGGCTTGCATTGAGGAGGATGTGGCCACAGGTCTCAGGTCTGAGTAGGGGCTCTGGACCCTGTTCCACCTGGTATGGGGACAGGAAGTGAACGCTGCTAGGCTTGCTGTGTTTGCCTCCCTCAGAGTCCCCGTAGCCCAGTGTTTTCCCAGCCCACATGCAAGGAGAGGAGGCTGCTGGGTTCAGACCACAGGCCCCCAACCCCTGCTGCATCAGCAGGCGTCCTGTGTGTATCCTCTGTGCTCTCCCCAGATTCTACTGAGGCCTTGTCACTCATTCCCTAGGACTGGGGGTGGACCTAGGCCTTGTGCATGGCACTAGATGCTGTCCTGCACTGAGCTGCACCCAGCCCTGTCCCTCTCATCAAGGCAGAGGGAAGGAAAGGCCCCATGGAGGGTATCCCCTAGATCAGGAGGCTGCATCAGCAGGGCTGGAGCAGACCATATGGACTATGGCTGCAGTGCCCAGTGCCCTGTCCATTCATTGCATTGACATTCCTTACCCTCCTCCCAGCGTCGTGTGTGCAAGGAGCAAGGCCCACACATGACGGTTTGGTGTGCAGCAGGGAGCAACTTGCTCATCTTCCACTGGGAAACCTGATTTATTTTGTAGGGCTGGGAATGGAACACAGAATCTTTGAACTGAGCTTTATCCCCATCCTTTGTTTTTTTATTTTATTTTTTATTTTTTTGGCAGAACCGGGGATTGAACTCAGGCCCTTGCGCTTGCCAGGGAAGTGCTTATTCTACTGAGCCATCTCCCTGACAGCTGTTTTTTATTTTTTTTTTTAAGATTTATTTATTTAGGGCCGGCCTAATAGCTCAGTGGATTAAAGTGCCTGCAAGCAGGTGTAGGGACCTGGGGTTCGTGCCCCAGCCCCTGGGGCACGCTGAGATGGGGATTGAGACTGTGGTGTTGTGCACCTGTAATCCTAGCACTTGGGAGGCGGTAAACAGGTGAATCACTATGAGTCTGATCTAGTAGTGAGAACCTGAACACCCTGTAGACCCTTCCCCCTCAAAAAAAATGATCTATTTATTTAATTTGGTATAGGATTTCACTACACAGCTTTGACTCATACTGATTCTCCTGTCTCAGCCTCCCCAGCGCTGGGATTACAGGTGTGTGCCACCACACCTGGTTTCAGGGTTGGCATGGCATGCAATATTGGAGAAGAACTTGGGTCCGTGCGCTTGCCAGGCAGGCACTTGGGTGGCTGAGCTGTTTCACCAGCCCCCCTTTTTTTTTACCTTTTTATCTTGAGGCAGGGGCACAAACTGCCCCCAGGCTGGGTTTGAATTTGTGATCCTTCTGCCTCAGTCTCCCAGAGTGCTGGCTTTACTTCTGTGGCTGGAAATGTGTTGGGAAAGGCTGGGCTTTGTGACAGGGGGCCCTTGTGAAGACTGCATCACATACCTCTGCATTCTGACCCAGCAGCTTCTGGCCTAGGAAAGCTGTGCTGTGCTCCCAACACCAACTAGGCAGCTCCCGCAAGCTCAGGGAGAGTGACGTGTCCATCCCATCCCCTCCATCTTGTGCACTCTTTGCCCTGGGTTGGCCTCAGTGAACTGGGAGATTTGTGTCTTTATGTGTGTTTTAGTTACCTTTTGCCCATCACCACCCCATGATCCATGTGTCATTTTAAATATCTTAACGGAAGAGGACACTGAGGTTTGGAGAAGTCAAGGCACTGTCTGAGGCTACAGACCTGAAGTCAGGAAGCAGAGATTTAAATACCAGGTGTATCAGATGTCCCTGAAGACACCCAGCTTCTCCATCGGGATAGAGGGCAGGGGAGGTGGACAAGCTACTGCCTAGGAGCCAAGCTAATCTCAACCCTTTCCATACCCAGCTCAGTGGCCCAGCCCACCAGGGTGGCTTTCTCCTCCCCTGACTTCCAGGAGCAAGAACTTTCTGCCCAATGCCCCTTTGTTTCTTGACTCTGTGTGCACGTCTCATTTTCACCTTGGTCACTAGAGATGCATCCCTGGGGGGCAGGCAAGTTCCTGCCTCTGTGCCTGGCCTCAGGGGGCGCTGTCCCCTGGGCATTACCTTGGGCCGTCCGAGGTGCTCAAGCCGATCAAGCCGGGGGCTGCAGCGCAGGCGGTGGCAGCTTGAGCAGTAGCTGTGGCCGGGGGCGGCGATGCTGAGCTGGGAGAGGCAGCAGCAGGTGGCTGGGCAGAAGCGGGCAGCAGCGGGGAGGCGGCCTGGCTGGTGCACACCGGAGCATGCTCAATGGGAGTGCTGACCGGGCAGGACCAAGAGAGACAAGAAGTCAGGAAGGAGGGGCCTTCCTGGAACCCGGCTGTGTGGTGCCGGTGTGGAGAGAGCGTCGAGGCCCTGCAAACCCAGCAGGCACCGCCAGGGGGAGCGTCCTCCCGAGACCGACAGCCTAGGGGTCTGTGGGAAGCTCGACAGCATTGTTCTTGCTGCGGAAGAGCTTCGCCCTGACTTTCCCGTACTTCCTCAGTTTTCTTTCTCAGCAAAACAGCGCAGTGCACAGGGTTCCTCTCCCATCCCTTTCCCCACCGATCAGGGGCACACCTGGCCTTTGGGAGAGACGATTCCCAGAAAAGGCGAGGGAGGCCCGCGGGGATCAGGGACTCAGGTTCCGCGTCGCGCGAGAGCCTGGCCGTGGGCCCGGAGGACGCACACTGAGGATGCCTCTGCGGTCGGGTAGAGGCCGGCTGCGGCGCAGACCGGGAGGGGGCGATGTGGGCGGGGGCGGGACCGAGATACCTAGGCCCCCAGGAAGCCAGGACCTGAGAAGAGGATGCTGGGTGGTGTGGATGCCAGAGGGTTTCCCGAGCACCGACTGTGGTGGAAGTGGCCTCTTCCAGAAGAGCGGAGGTGACCAGTGGGAGAGGAACACCCTAAAGTTGCCAATATGGCTGGCTCAGGCACCCTTGTGCCCCAGCTAGGGACTGGGCTTCTGGGGAGGGAGTTGAGACAGAGTCTTCTTTATGCAGTTTAGTCTCGTCTTGAACTCTCTTGTTGCCCAGGCTGGCCTCAAACTCGCAGCGATCCACCCGCCTCAGCCTCCTGAGTGCTGAGATTACAGGTGTGCATGCACCACCATGCCTGACAGAGAAATACATTTTCTTTTCTTTTTTTTCCTCTCTGCTTTTCTTTTCTTTTTTTTTCCTTTCAACTTCTGTCCTCTCTTTCCTTCCTTCCCCCTCTCTCTCCCTCCTTTTTTTTTTTTTTTTTTTTTTTTTTTTACTAAGTTAGGCTGACTTTTTTTTTTTTTTTTTCCCCGAAACTGGGGATTGAACACAGGCCCTTGCGCTTGCCAGGGAAGCATTTATTCCACCGAGCCATCTCCCTGGCCCCCTCCTTTTCTTTTGAGTGAGATCTCAATGTATGTTTCCTAAGGTAGTCTTGAATTTCTGGGCCTAAGGGATTCTTCTGCCCCGGCCTTCCAGATAACTGCATTTTACAGGCATGCACCCTCACATCCGATCATGCTTTGCTTTTGACATTGACATTGGTCTCTGTATTTGCACCACAGTCACAGAACAAGTCAACTCCTATAACTAGAAATGACTTCTCCCCTGTAGTGTGTGTTCCACGCACTGACCTTGCACTACGCATCCAGAGTTATGTCTTGACTTCCTCACAGCCACCCTCTGATGTAGGTATCATTGACTCTCGTAACAGAGGAAGAGATGGAAACAGAGAATTCCCCTGGCTAAGGTTCTCCAGTTCACCCAAGGGTGCGCGTTGCTGGCCCCAGGGCTGGCGCCCCATTCTCCACCGCTAGCAGGAAGCATCTGCCTCGTCCTGCCCAGGCCTCCCTGGCTTAGGGTCAGAGGGAGCCTTGGGTGGTCCAGTCTGCAGGCCCACAGCAGAACCTGGCTCTGCATTTACACAAGACATTGGCCACTTGCCTTCTGTGGAAAGTGGCTAGTGCCGTAGTGCTGGGCTGGCCCCTAGGGCCCTGCTCCCGCAGTGGCAGGCACAGGAGGTCCAGGCTGACGTGGGACTCAGGTCCTCTCATTGGCCTGCCCCTGGTACCATCCATCTGACTTTGGCCAGACCAGCTTACCTGCAGCTCTTCCAACCATCACTCCAAGTGAACCCTGATTTCAGGGCCCCCCTTATTGACCTCAGGGATGAAACAAAGGTCACCACTGTGGCACAAGGATGTGTACTTGAGCCTGGTGGCTGGGATTTTGCTGGGTCACCAGCAAAATCTGTGACCATGATCCGTAGGGCCCAGGGAAGGGAGGGGAGGTGATAAAGGGCACCCTGACAGAGCTTGGGTCTCAAGTCAGGTCAGTTGTTGAATGAAGTTTTCTGAGTCCCCTGAGACCCCCTGAGGGGGGCATGGGAGCACAAACACTGCAGAGAACCTCAATGGTTTCCATCCTAATGAATTGCCCACAGCTCAGCCAGCCTGGTCTAGGATTCTGCCTCTGCCTCCTGCCTTGGCCAGAATCCATTTTATTTATTCTTGGTGTTGGAGATTGGACCTAGGACCTCACACCTGCTAAGCACATGCTCTGCTGCAGAGCCCCACTCCCACCCTGTGATCACATCTAAGCAAAACTCAAAGCAGAGCCAACCAGACTGTATGTTCACAGCTGGGTGGGGGAGAGTGGGGCAGGAGGGAGCAGCTCTGGCTACGGTCCCTGGCACAGCTTGCTGCTGCTCTCTACCACGGTAGCAAAAAGCTTGAGTATGTCCATCCTGTGCCCTTGCTTGGGGGTGGTGGCCTTCGGTGGTGGCAATGGTGGGGTTTGGTGGATGCTGTTACTAGTGACAGTGATGCTGTCTGGAAAGGATGGGCTATATTAGGGGAGGGTGTTGTCTTGTGGGGGTTTGTGGTCACTGGGCTCAGGTTAGGACCTGAAGGCGATGGTGGACAAGGTGAAATTGGCACTGATGGTGTAGACGGTGTGGTTGGTGCTACTTGTGTGACTAAGATAATCCCTGTTGATCGGATGATGCCAGAATGCCAGTTGGGGAGTTCAATGTGAAATGGCTTCTGATGCCATCTACCTGGTCTGCATTCCATCTGGCAGCCATGGTCCTTTACAGCACAGCCAGGGCTACGTTGATACTTTGGTCCATGTGAATGATAGCCCACCAGCATTGCAGCCTTTGCTTGTTTGCAATTTGACCCCAGAATATGTTTAAACCCCCTAGCCCATGGCTCTAGATCACCGTCATACTGAGCATCACCCTTCTACACTGCTCCAGTCCAAGCCAGTTGATGCCCCCAGGGCCCAGATACTTCCTTCCCATCAGCATCTCTGTCCCTCTGCTTCCCAGCCTTCCCTACCAGTGACACCCCGGTCCTGCCCACTCCTGAAGATCAAACACTAAGACTTCATCCTGGAGCCCCAGATCTTCTGGCTGGACAAGTGATCCACCCTACACTGCAGACCCATCAGCACAGTCTCTGTCTGGTTTCTTGGCATGCACAGCACCAGATACCTCTCCTACTCACAGAGAGCTCTGCATGCACCCTACCAGGGGGCCACAGAGGGGATTGCATACAGAGGCCTCGGTGTCTGAGGGCACCAGAGCCAGAAAGCAAACCAGAGCCTGCCAGAGCTTTAACAGAGTAGCTCAAAGAAGGCTCCTGAGGCTGGAAGCTGGGGTCCTAGGGCCTGCCAATTCTGAAAGACTGGCTCGGCCCCTCTGCCAGCCTTAGGTGCCCACTGCCTATGGCTTCTCACTCAGCCTACCCTCGGGTCTTGCTCAAAAATCAGCCCAAATTCCCTGGTTCCGGAAAAAAAAAAAAAAAAAAAGTCAGCCAAAACAGTACCTTCCAGGGTACCTAAAGAAATACAGGCACCCCTTTTCTCCTGATGTGGATGCCCAGCCAGGAGGACACTTGCCTACCCTGATGACTAACTATAGGTGGTAGGAATGGGGGAAGGCCAAAGAGGGACAGGTGGGCAGGAGCTTGGGGAAGCATCTCATGGGAGACGGACAAGAGCAACAGCTTCTCCCAGGGGAGAGCATGAAGGTCCCCAGAGGTGGGGCAAAAGACAATACCCAGACACGGGGTGGGGAGAGGCTGGACTGCCCAGCCCCAGAGAGCAGCGAGTCCCAGGGCTTGGGCCCTGGCATCTACCTTCCTTTGCCAAGTGCTAATGTCCTCTCACATAGGTAGGCAGGGTATTGGCTCTGACTGCTGCCTCCCTGACCACCCTTACCAGGTGAGGGTCACAGGTGGTGGCTTCTCACCCTCCTCCTGCTATCAGGACTGCCAGGCCACTTCCTGTCCTCCCCATGGAACCTGGTTTGCCCCTGGGTTTCCCTATATACTGCCCACATGCCTGAGTCTGCTCTTGCCTCCTAGGTCTAGGCTTAGGCAGACTGGTGCCTGCTGGAGAGGAGGGGCCTGCAGTCTCCTCTAATGGGGCCAGGGAGGGTGGCTCGGCTTTCTGGTTATAACTGGTGGGTGACGGGTAGGGGTCCTGCAGCGTCCTCGTGGGAGACTCAGGCTGCCCATGGCCCACAGCATGATCTCCATGCTTGCCCCCTGGGTCATTTAGGCCAGGAGCAGGCTATGGGTAGGAAAGCATCCCTGAGCTGACCTGCCCGTAGCCCACTACTGGTCCCTGAGCCCAGGGCCCTCACATAGCCACACCCTCTCTCGGGGATAAGCGCAGGCACAGCAAGAGGGCACGGGGTCAGTTCACATCAGATCCTCTTTATTCAGAACAAGCGTGCTCCTATGTACAGGGAGGTCGAGGGCAGGGTATGGCACAGGGCAGGGTACCGCCTGTCTTACTGCAGCCTGGAGGGACAGTCTCTGCCCAATCTATCCAGTCCTTCGCTTCCTGTGCCCGAGGATCCAGAGGGTGGCAGGGCTGTAAGGGCTGATCTTGCAAGGGTAACTTGCTTGGGGACAGTACAAGTCCCCAAGGGGGGGAGGAGAGGAAGAAAGAGAGGGAGGTGGTACATTCTGGCTCTCTTGGCTCTGCACTAGCAGCGGGGACCCCACCACACTTCTCTGGATATGACTAAGGGCCTGAGTTGAGTGGCAGGGTAACTGTGGAGATATGGAGGGTGGCGTAGGGAGGGTGGGCAGAGGGTGGAGTTGGCAACCAGAGGTGCCCCCTGCATGTTATACATTGTCAAGCATCACCATGGGGCTCACATGCCAGACGGGTGTGGGGGAGAAGGGTCCACTGCAGGGTGGGGGCTCCACGCAGCCTTTTAGCTTTTAACATTAAGGATTTGGGCTGAGAGGCCATGGTGCCAGTTGCGCAATTTGGCAAAAC